AGATAAAATAGAACCATGAAACCGAGTTAATACAGTACACTGAAGGAACCGGTTTTTGAGTGCAAACGCACAATCTGTAAAGGATTTTTAGACGAGCAGGGAAGGAGAGGGATAGTTTCCCGGTCGGAGTTCTTCGCTGTGGACGCTCGAGCGTGTCAGGAGGCTGGGTTTGGCGTGGCTCCAACCTGTTTTCCACCAATTATTGATGCTGGTAGTCGAGCGCAGTTGGCGGAAAATGGCTGGCGCGGCTCCTCACCCAGCTCTCACCCCCCCCCCTCTGAAACGCTTGGGCGTCCGCAGCAAAAAAAAACAAACGACTTTTGTTAACTGATCAGAGGTCTGTCAACCCCACTCCCCCTTCCCCGCTCCGCTCTTCAGCTGATTTGGAGTGAGGTTTATATTTTGCAACTTAGCGCTCATGGAGATGATGTGCCCTGTTTCGAGGTCTTCTCAGCTGACTTACCTGCAGGAGAGATTGAGATCCTGCTCGAAGGCTAGCGTTTGCAACCGAAACGTAGAACGCCTTGACTCGCCGTTTCCGTAGCCACTCAGTCAGCTGACGCTCTAGCTTCCTCATCACAGAATAGACTCGATCTGACGGATTGTACTGAAAGTGGAAAATTTATTTGACTGCATATGAGTAGGCGAGGCGTGTGTCACTTTTGTGGTGCTGCAAAAGAATCAGAACTTGGCCCGAGCCAGCCTCGAGGGGTAGGGGGAGAACAACTATTGGACAATAAGAATATTTCGAATTAACTTCGTGTGCCAGTAAGTGAAAACCAGCTTATAGTGGGCTGAGCGTGTCCACAAACGGGTGAAAGCGAACGCCCGGAAATATAGGGTTAGCTATGTAATGGCATTTGCTGAGTAGGAACTCTGCACTGAACATGAAATCTTCATTAACGCATACTCTAGTCTTTTTCGCTCGGATGAGGGGCGTGACAAGGGAGGGGAAATGGGTTTTGCGCCCCTCCCTTGACACGCCCCTCATCTGAGCGCCACAAAATGGATGCCTGCCCATCTTTTTCTTTCGGCAAGACTGTACCACATCGTTTGTATCAGTCGTTTTCCACTAGTTACTGTTCCTTAGGTAGCGTTCAGACTTCGCGACAGCAACGTTTCGGTCACGGTTCGACGCGATCGATGCAGTCGAAAGCATGCGCATCGATCGCGTCGAACGCGCGACCGAAGCGCTACCGTCGCGAAGTCTGAACGCTATCCTTACCTGCTTTAGGAGCTGGTGTACGAGTTGGCCGCGCGTCAAACCCCACGCGTCCTTGAGCGCCTTCGCTGTTTTTTGGTCTTGCTTTTTAATAGATTAGATTGCCGAGCGTTAGATGGAAAATCAGATTTGGCCGCGCAAGGCAGGCCTCGAATCCCAGGGTAGAAACACTTGGCATCAGCTGGGCAATCGGACTAGATCCAAACAACTGCTTATTGTGAAAGAAGTTCATACAAGAACGACATACCGGAACCACATATCCACAGATCAGCAACGACGTCCCTTTCGTGATATTGTTGGCAAAGTCAACGAGAGACGGTCTTGATGCTGCATTTCCACACAATACCAATATTTGAGGTCTATAAAAGGCATTTTCAAAAAAAAACTTACTTATATGGTTTCATTAAATATCAGGACTTACCTGTAATTTTTTACATGCTCTTCAGTATTTGCTAATTTGATCATTCCTGCTAGAGCATTTTTGTAGCTGTGCGCTTGCGTAGAGGATCCCCAGTTAACATCTATTCAAGCAACGTTATCAGAATTAATGTCATAGATCTACTTTCCTTATCTCAGAAATAGGGAGGGGG